ATTAATAAATGGTTCACAGGTGTTCACTTTACATTAAGGTTCACTTTCACAGGTTATTAACGCTTATAGATCATTAATAAATGGTTCACAGGTGCTCACTTTACATTAAGGTTCACTTTCACAGGTTACTAACGTTTATAGATCATTAATAAATGATTCACAGGTGTTCATTTTACATTAAGGTTCGCTTTCACAGGTTACTAACGTTTGCAATTCATTAATAAATGGTTCACAGGTGTTCACTTTACATTAAGGTTCACTTTCACAGGTTACTAACGTTTATAGATCATTAATAAATGGTTCACATGTGTTCACTTTACATTAAGGTTTGCTTTCACAGGTTATTAATGTTTGTAACTCATTAATAAATGGTTCACAAGTGTTCACTACATTAATGTTCACTTTCAAAGGTTACTAACATTTATAGATCATTAATAAATCGTTCACAGGTGTTCACATTACATTAAGGTTCACTTTCACAGGTTACTAACGTTTATAGATCATTAATAAATGGTTCACAGGTGTTCACTTTACATTAAGGTTTGCTTTCACAGGTTAATAATGTTTGTAACTCATTAATAAAGGGTTCACAGGTGTTCACTTTACATTAAGGTTCGCTTTCACAGGTTATTAACGTTTGTAACTCATTAATAAATGGTTCACAGATGTTCACTTTACATTAAGGTTCGCTTTCACAGGTTATTAACGTTTGTAACTCATTAATAAATGGTTCACAGATGTTCACTTTACATTAAGGTTCGCTTTCACAGGTTATTAACGTTTGTAACTCATTAATAAATGGTTCACAGATGTTCACTTTACATTAAGGTTCGCTTTCACAGGTTATTAACGTTTGTAACTCATTAATAAATGGTTCACAGATGTTCACTTTACATTAAGGTTCGCTTTCACAGATTATTAATGTTTGTAACTCATTAATAAATGGTTCACAGGTGTTCACTACATTAAGGTTCACTTTCACAGGTTACTAACATTTATAAATCATTAATAAATGGTTCACAGGTGTTCACTTTACATTAAGGTTCACTTTCACAGGTCCCTAACGTTTATAAATCATTAATAAATGGTTCACAGGTGTTCACTTTACATTAAGGTTCACTTTTAGATGTTATTAACATTTATAACTCATTAATAACTGGTTCACAGGTGTTCACGTTACATTAAGGTGCACTTTCACAAGTTATTAACGTTAATAAATCATTAATATATGGCTAATTACATTAAGGTTCACAGATAATATTGGAATTAAAATATTAAATATTAATATCGCATCAAGTCATGGTTGTGCTTTTATGATTTTTCCCCCAAAATAAAAATCAAGATTTAATAATGTCATCTTGATAAAATATATATTGGTTTCTAATCATTGCTGTGGATAAGCATCATGAACTTTTGCGTCATGAGATATAAATGAGAAAGCCATAAATACAACACCCTTCAGTCTTGCTAAAATAGTAAATTTTTGCTGCATCATGAATAAAATCAGGAATCTGGTTTTGAGTGAAATAAGTATTAATAAATATATTTGTTAAGCATTTATAACATGTGAGTTAAAAATGGCTCACTGTTTGGCAGGTATTGCATTAAAATCACCCTTTTACTCATGCATTTATAACTGCTTATTATCAATGAATTATAATGCATTTGTAAGTGCGTTATTAGTCAATTATTAACACCTTTATAAACCCTTTACAAAGGGAACCTTAATCTAAAGTGTTACCCATTTTTGTCATGCATTCTCTGGGAATCAAACCCATGACCTTGGCATTGCTAGTGACAAAGCTCTACTATATATTTGTTGTTGTGTTTAACAAAATACCAACATAAGAATTTCTAGTATCACACTGTGATTACTTTATTAGGCATTTGTAAAAATTATTAAGTGCTAAACAGGATCACTACATCCCTAAAGCATATAATTGGAAACAGTGAAACGACAGTAGAAGACAGTGGTCTGTTATTCAGCAAGGTCAAAGAGCCATTCCAGCTGAAAGGCCATAAATACTCAAGCATCCTTTACTTAACCTGGCATGAAGATACGTATCTCTGAAGCAAATTGAACCTTGCAAAATGAGCAGCAAAAGACACTGTTACGGTCAGCTAAGGTTAAGCCTTTAGAGATAATGAATAGTAGAAATGGGAGGTTTGCAATATAGCCTGAATAATATACTGTAAATGATGACTAGTGAATCGTTGATAAAAAGATGCAGTCAGGTTTAAAAGAAATAAGGTGCTATTTATGTTGTGTAAATAAAGGTAGCTTGGCATCAAGTGCAAATAAATACAAATAGCACATTGTTTGCACTAAGTGCAAATAGGCAGATGAATTGCTCAGACAAAAGCATCAGCTAGACAAAACCAACACAAGCTAGATTGTTCAGTCTCAGATGAAGAAATGCAATACGCCATCAGAGTAGTTTTATTGAATAATGAAAAAGGATGATACTGAAATCACCACAGAGCAAATAAGTCTATATCGAGTTAATCATTTTAGATTCTTTGACATATGGCAGTTCTAATTGGCAGGCAAGAAGGCAGAATGCTTTGGGCTTCATGTACTCATTCCCAGCACAGCCACTGGTAAAAGGAGAATCAAATCATTCACATCGGTCAAAGGCTTTCCCCTCTGATCCTCCTAGAGCTTGGACTGCACTAACAGTAACACAGCACCAAAGGCACAATTATTTATTAACCTTTCCTTTCCTTTCCTTTCTTTTGATTTTGACAAAACAATCAGAGCCCAGTAGAAATCAATAGATTCTGCATAATGTTCAGAAAAGCTTGAATGTGCGTTGTTCTCTATCTAAACTAATCTCAGCCACATAACATTAAGCAAAGCTTTTGACACTGAATGCGTTAGTAATTGTTTGTGGTGGAACATGATGCGTTTTCCTTCTGACATAACGAGTTTGAATCAATTACAAGTATTTTCATGAAAGCTTGTAAAGGCGTCAATGTAATGTAATCTGTTCAGTACGATGGCGAAACAAATCACCCAGCATTGGTTAGGGAATCATTTTATCTCCTCCACTTTCAAAAAAATGAAACATTCACAGACTCGCAGCCCTGCAATTACAAAATATAAAACTTGACAGTTCTATCACCAAGACGTCCTTCCAGTGGGGTGAATAATGAGTGAATGTATGAGATTTTTAATTTGTACGTATGTCAAACTCAATTTATTTTCCACATAGCTCTGGTCCAAGTGGCACCCATCATCCAGCAGGATCAAAAAGATTCATGAGGAGACTACTTCAATTGCACTACTTATGCTCTGACTGACAGTGAAGTTTCTCAGCCTTTATCTGTCTTGGACTCACTCTGGGGCGAACACTGGTGTTAAATATCTCATGGAATCGGTGTGGGTGAAGATAGATTCCTTGTTCATTTCTCTTTTACAAGAACCTTTGAATGATTTGAATAGAAACTCAATTTATCCTCTTCAGTTCTGAACCAGCTCTCTGAAAATCAGTGTTTTATTTTGCTTTAGAATCGGCTTTAGATTCTCAATCACACTTTAGAATGGAATTGATTTGTTTATAATCTCAGACTATTGCTTTTATACTGAAAACACAAACATAATATTTGAAAACTTTTGAACATTAAGATAGGGATGTGGTATGTTATGGAGTTATAAAATAGTTTGAGTATAAACAATTCAAAAGTGCTCCCAATGCCACTGAACAGTCAACATCCCCAAGGGCGTACGTTACCTAGTTTAAAACAATACTTACAAGCCAGACCCCTCTTTCTCTGTGATCAGAGGAAGTCAGCAGCTGCTCCTGTTCTATTTGAATTTTACAAGCAGAGACGCTGTGAACTGAAAGCTGTGACCCCAAGAATATATTTATTATGTGTCTATTTGCAAACAAAAAATAATATTTTCTAAATTCATCTGTATACAATATCTAAAATGTTATTTTTCTCCATAATGGTTTCTGAATTACCCTATTATAGACATCAATTCTCTTGTTTAGGACCACAGATTGTAAGTAGTTATAAATTATTATGAATATTTGACAGTATCTACATTTTACATTTTCTTACAATTATATTTCTTATGATATCCACTAAATTAAAAATGTGTGTTTTTTTTGGGGGGGGGGGGGGGTCTAAAACCTTTTACCCTCACTTTTTGGGCTTGTGTTATTGTTTATTTTTGTTTTGACTTTATTCTACCTCTTTTTCATTTTATTGCATTTACTTACATTTGTTTAGCACAAATGTACCAATTCAGCTAAATTGATTTGTATTAAATTTGAGATTTAATTAAATCAAATTTTTATTTTTTTAAAATTTTTTTTTTTTTATTAACCAAAAAAAAAAAAATGGTTGTTTTTTTTGGGGGGGGGGGGGGGTCTAAAGACCTTTACCACTAACTTTTGCGTAGTCTTCAGTATTTTTCCCCTCAATGGTTAACAGTGTTTAACTAACAATACTGTGCAGCACTGCATAATCATCTGAGTCACGTTGAAGCATCAATGTGACCATCATTCCAACTGTGGCAAACAGTCTGGGACAATTAAATTAAATTAGTTCAGATTCTCCCTTTATTTTGTTCTGTTCTGAGCTGAATGGAGTATCGTACCTGCAAAATGACAAAACCTCAAAACAATATTTAATCACAGTCATTTCTAATTATGATAAGCCCACTTTAGAGACATGAAGAGTAAAACATAAAGCCTAGACTCTGTTCACAGTAAAAAGCGAATCCAAGAGAAGTACAATCCATTTATTTGTTCATTTTTGTTTGATCATCAGCTGTGCTTGTAGTGACCTGTCAGTCATTTTGGAGATATCACAAGTATATGGAATAGAAAAGGAGAGAAGCCCAACATCCATAAAGATAGATGTTTCATAATATACAAAAACAACCAAAAAAGGTTGTTTTGTTTTTAAAATTTACAACAGCCTTATATATTATATTTGCATTATATCACTATGATATTTTGAACAAATGGGATACACTTTACAAGCATAGCCACAAAGCTTAAATAGTTTATTATCTGATAAATAAATCCTGTAGATAAATAAATGTATCATTATTTATCATCATCACCGCAAAACCACTTACAGTTTCTTTTAAGTCTAGTCCAGTAAATACCTCTTCTGTATACTTTTATGGCATGTTAGAGAGCAGCAGTACAGTGATTAATTTCACTGAAGAACAGTTAAGAAATAGAGCTCTGTTCAGTCAGGACTTTGCACCCTTAGGACGAACCATGCAATACCCAAGCACATCAGGGCAAAACTCTTCTTCTCATCTGTCATCTGGTAACAACCTTCTCATACTCCGTAACCAACAGTGTCCGTTTTGTATCTCTCCACTGGAAGGAAACAGCACACTTTTTGGTAATTCACTTCTCTTGTTTGTCTTTTTTGTCACCATATAAAAGGAGACAGCCTTTCATGTTACATAGCTCTCTAGTCACAATGACACAAGCCATATGTGCAAACTCATCATAAAAATATCTCTTGATAACTTCAGATTGCCAGCAGCCATAATAAAGATAAGCCTGTTTCCTCTAATGCAGTGCAGTGCTTCCCAATTCAGGTGGGTTTTATTTTTTTTTCTTATTTTTTTTAAGCATATTTAGCTTTTGGTACCACCTATGTGACCAGCATCTGTTGTCCTCACAGACTCATGAAGAACATTACACAACGAAGTAGGAAAAAATATCAATGTCATTGTTGTGTACAGATTGTCAATGCAAAGGGGCAGTGGTGTTTTTGAAAACTTCTCTTCCTTGTCAACCACCTGTTAATGGCACTGGATGCTGCAAACTAGCTGCCAATGTTCTCTAAAAAGACCTCTTCCAGGACTTGCACAGGATCTTCTGAAAAGCTCGCCGGAAGTCCTGGTTGAAGATGGTGTAGATGACGGGATTGAGGGAGCTGTTGCAGTAACCGATCCAGAAGAAAAACTTGAAAAGGGTGTCATGGATGGCGCAGGGCTCCCGGCAGATACCATACAGGCTGTAGCTGAAGAAGAAAGGAAACCAGCAGACCACGAACACCCCCATGACCACGGCCAGCACAAAGGTGAACCGCTTCTCTCGTGCCTGGGAAATTTTTTTTCTCGAAATGGTGTTCCTCCTTTTTCTGCGGGAGGAAAACAAGTCCAGGGACTTGCTGCTGGCTCGGGACTTCCGGCTGGAATGCTTGGAGCTGGAGCTGTTCTTGCGGCTGGACCGGCGGTCTTTTCGCGAGGGCGCCATCTCGTTTTGCGTCCGCTTGGCCTTCTCATCGGATGAGCTGCTGTCCTCCAGCTCGGCATCTGGGTCATCCTCGCCTGGTTTGCGTTCCCCTGGTGGTGGCGAGGCACAGTGCCCATTTTCCCGCCTAGAATCCTCACGGCTCAAGCCATTCTCCAGCCGTGGCGTTCCTGATCCACCATCTGGATCACGGCGCTTTTCAGACATATTTCGGGTTCTCGTCTTAGCCACCTGGTAGATTCGGATGTAAACAAGGATCATGATGACACACGGGGCAAAGAACGACCCGATGCTGGAGTACAGGATGTACCACGTGTGGTCGTTCAGCTGGCATTGTGGTTCGCTGCTGTCACCCTCGTTATTCCGGTCCATGGAGATGAGCGGTGGGAAGGAGATTACAGCCGCGATCAACCATACCACCACAATCATGCCCTTTACCCTGCGAGGCGTCCGCTTCAAGTTATACTCGACCGCCTGTGTTACAGACCAGTACCTGTCCAGACTTATGGCACACAGGTGAACAATAGAAGATGTGCAGAAAAGAACATCTAGCGCAAGATAGATATCACACCAAACTTTCCCAAAAAACCAGTAGCCCATTAATTCATTGGCCAGGGAGAAAGGGATTATCAGGGTGGCCACCAAAATGTCCGCACTGGCCAGAGACACAAGAAAAAGGTTTTGTGGTGGCTTGAGCGCTCTGCTCGTTAAAACGGCGATAACGACCAGCACATTCCCCACTATTGTAAACAAGATGAGGAAGCTCACCAACCCTGCGAGCCCTATAATGGTTGCCGGAGAATAGCGACTTGTAGAATTCCCAGAGGTTGTTAAACCAATGTCAATGTATGTGTCCACTTCGCTTGCAAAGCTTAAGTTATGCATATTGATTTAGAAAAAGCTCTGCTGTCCAATAAATCGTCCACGCGCGTCTTCGCGAATATTCTCTTTTTGATTTCACTGTAAGTTAATTGCAGGTCCGTCTCTGGCGTGAGCGCTCTGCTCGTTAAAACGGCGATAACGACCAGCACATTCCCCACTATTGTAAACAAGATGAGGAAGCTCACCAGCCCTGCGAGCCCTATAATGGTTGCCGGAGAATAGCGACTTGTAGAATTCCCAGAGGATGTTAAACCAATGTCAATGTATGTGTCCACTTCGCTTGCAAAGCTTAAGTTATGCATATTGATTTAGAAAAAGCTCTGCTGTCCAATAAATCGTCCACGCGCGTCTTCGCGAATACTATCTCTCTCTCTCTCTCTCTCTCTCTTTCTTAATTTCACTATAAGTTATTTGCAGCTTCCTCTATGTTTCTTCTTACCTTGTGTTCTTATTTTAATCCCGTTCGCGTCTTTTTCTTTTCCGCACAATTCCTCTTACGGATCATTTGGTTGCGGCTTTGAAAAAGCGACCCATCCCGTGGTGAGTTTGAAGTAAGCATCACCGTCTCTTACATCCGTGCGACCTGCTCTTCCTCTCGCGGGCGTCTCTCTCCGCATCCACCCGAGCAAAACACCGCCGGGACTCAACTATCCACGTGCTGACAGCATTAAACTGATGGAGCGCCGCCCCGCCCCCGGAGAGAACTATACTGACTGCTGAAGTACCCTACCACCGTTTAGCGCCGTTCTTTGTTACAGTGAACATTTTATATCAGATCATAGCGAGATTTTATGCATTTCAAACATTTCTTCTTTACGCGTCTCTGAACAGACAGCAAGAGCTGCAACTTGGGCAAACATGCAATGGGCATTACATGTTAGTTACTCTGAGGGGAAATACATTTATTTAATTTTGTCGCACTAGGCGTTGTCAGGAATAACGTTGTAAAGTGGTGGGAAAGGACCGTGAACTGTAAAGAAACTATGCCTTACGGCATCTTTGCTCGCTGGGTGTCACTGTTGTAACAATGCCATTGTGGCTGTAAATAATGTGAAAACCTGTCATTCAATAGGCTATATAGCAACTTTCCTCACAATGCTCTTTCTCGAACCTTGCTTTTAAACATTTTTATTAGCTTTGGGATTAATTGGACAAGTATAGCCTAAGTGTTGAATTTTAGTATACTAATCTCAAAACTGCATATTTTCAATAGACTGCGATTCAATCACAAAGTAAATTTTTCGACCAAATGCGTTTCAAGAAATACCTTCCATTTAAATTAATTGTCCTTCATAATTAAGTTTAAAATATTTAATTTGCATCTGTTAATATAGTACAAATAATTTGGTATATCCTACCTATTTGCAACTGGTAAATTTTGTTTTATCTTGTAAATTACATGTTCAAAGCAAGATATGAGATTAGATTTGATCTGTAGTGGAGGTAAGGAATTACAACTACTCACGTTACTGTAATTAAGTAGTTTTTTCGGGTACTTGTACTTTTTTGAGTATATTTTTAAAGCTGTACTTTTGCTTGTAGTTAAATACAAATTAAGCAAAATTATCTACTTCGTTACTTTTAAATCATAGTTCGTTACTGAGTACGCCCACAATTTGAATTGATATTCAAACCTTTGACGGCCCTTCAGTAGCCAATAAAGATATCCGACCGTAAACGGACCAATAGAAGTGTAAATTACATGTTCAAAGCAAGATATGAGATTAGATTTGACCTGTAGTGGAGGTAAGGAATTACAACTACTCACGTTACGTTAAGTAGTTTTTTCGGGTACTTGTACTTTTTTGAGTATATTTTTAAAGCTGTACTTTTGCTTGTAGTTAAATACAAATTAAGCAAAATTATCTACTTCGTTACTTTTAAATCATAGTTCGTTACTGAGTACGCCCACAATTTGAATTGATATTCAAACCTTTGACGGCCCTTCAGTAGCCAATAAAGATATCCGACCGTAAACGGACCAATAGAAGCCCTGATATCTGAAGCGGGAAAAGCCGCCACTGCAGCAGGTGAAGAGCTGACCAGACAGTGAGGGAGCTCAGCGTGATTTATAGACTTAAAGTTTGGAGGAACAAACTACATGGTAGTGTTATCATACATATCTATATTTTGATACTGAAATATCTGACACTGTTCCGTTACTTATTTTCCACAGTATCTACCGAATATACACCGATACAAGCTGCGTCTCTCTCTCTCCTCAGACAGTGAGTTTGACACGCATCCGCCTGCTGTCAGTTACAGAGTCTAATATCCGCGCGGAATTGCAGGTATTCCGCATAATTTGAATCATTCCCGCGCAAATGTGGCGAGCGCTTTATTGTAACATGAGAACACAGTCATGTAATTACAGAAAACTGGATGCGAGCTCTCAAATAGGCCTAACTTATACAAATGAACTGCCTGTCCTCTCACTCCGCTATTGCTTGTGCGCAGACTGTGTGCAATCGCGATCTCTCCATGCTTTTAAAGTAGAAATGATTTCTCTTTGCTCCTGGATTAAACTGTCAAAAGTTATAGAATAGATCCATGCCTGACCGATGAAAATGCTACAAGAAATTTTATTGGCTGTAAGTGAAATGCACCAGAAAGACTTTCAATAATCAAAGATGGAACTTTAATTTCTTTACAATGTAAGTGTATGCTAGAAATGTTTCTGAATGGGATATTTGTCTGATTGGTATAACTATCCTAGTCTGCCTAACTGCAAGGCCTAACTTATACAAATGAACTGCCTGTCCTCTCACTCCGCTATTGCTTGTGTGCAGACTGTGCAATCGCGATCTCTCCATGCTTTTAAAGTAGAAATGATTTCTCTTTGCTCCTGGATTAAACTGTCAAAAGTTATAGAATAGATCCATGCCTGACCGATGAAAATGCTACAAGAAATTTTATTGGCTGTAAGTGAAATGCACCAGAAAGACTTTCAATAATCAAAGATGGAACTTTAATTTCTTTACAATGTAAGTGTATGCTAGAAATGTTTCTGAATGGGATATTTGTCTGATTGGTATAACTATCCTAGTCTGCCTAACTGCATCACTACACTGTACAGTCATTACAGGTCAAAGCCATCTGATGTTCCATTTATCTAAATATATAGGCCTAACATACTGTAAATGGCTCTTAAATCACTGCTTATAAAAATACAGTGTCATATTTCGAATACCTCAACTGAATTGAGGTCATTTGTTTTATAATTTTATTACTGAATATGTACTTGTCTTTTTTTTGCAAATTCAATTCAGTTTGAAATCAAGCTTCCTTGTGCTATAAGCTTCTGCAACAAAGTTACCCTATTTAAAAGACACAAATACACTGAATGAGCAAATGTTTAAGATTGAGATTTTTGTAATGGTAATTTATCAATATTTGTATGTAAATAAAAGCCTATATTAATATATGTTCATCATATAAAGTGCATGTCTTTTTAGAGGACTTGGTTTAAACCAATTTCAAAGCTTGAAATATTGATTGCCTTGAAAAAATGGATGGACAAAAAAAAAAAAAAAATCTATATGGCAGTATGTGTTAGTTTTGCCAATGGTATTGAAAATGATTAGTCGTCATGAAATCAAAAATGACCCTACTTCCTTTGTTAGTGCACATTACTAGTCTTGTGGTGAACAATTAAACCGTGCAAGTCAATACACTGAAAAAAAACTGTCTGCCGTCATAATCTTTAATCAAAAACTGAAAATTGGCTTCAGCTCTGGAATGGCGTTCTGGCTCTGATGACGTCAGTTTGACAGCTTAGGAGAGAATCCTCTTGTTAAGTCATGACGTAAGGACTACTGTTTCTGGGTCCAAGCCTCTACCCATTTCACTTGAGAATACTATCTCAGCAGCCATTTATGAGCATTATTTAATTAATATTACATATTTAAGCTGAGCATTTAAACATGTGCTGTGCACACTACAGTCGCCGTGCTCACAGTGTCTCAGACACCTATATTTTAGCTGAATCACTGTCTGGCCGTCTGGGATTTCAGTATGGAGATAAAGGTTATGGTTATAATTTTTCAGTATTACATGGCATTGTGGGTGTATATGCACAGTTTATTGTTTTTTGGGGGGTGTTTGGCAGACCCAGAAGCGGTGAAGCATGATGTCAGACGTAATAAGCAGATATTCTAAACCACTATCCAGCCGTGAATCTGCTGTGAGCAAGAGGTGGAGAGGAGGGGCACCACAATAAAACCCCGCCCTTTATTCAATGTTACGTTTCACTTGGAAATACATCACAACACTGAAGTCAGTTGCAACTTCCGGTTCATGGGTACTTTAATACTGATATTTTTCAAGGTATTGAAGTTAGAAATTCCTGTATCATGACCACTAATTGATATACTTTTTCAATAAGATAAAAGTGGGTTTTGTTCAAAGTAGCTATTATCCACAGATCTTTGATATGAATATTTTTTGACAATTCATTAAAGGGGTCATATGATGCAATTTCAAATTGTCCTTTCTCTTTGGAGTGTTACAAGCTGTTCGTGAATAGATAAGATCCCTAAAGTTGCAAAGACTAAAGTCTCAAACCCAAAGAGTATAATATATAATATAATAATTAATAAATCACAACACACTGGATTTCTGGCCATTGAGAGCACACCTCGCTTTTCAGACCGATGAGCTTTGTAAAAATCGGCGCGTTTCAGAAAGGCGGGGCTTAGAGGAGAAACAATAATGTACAGTATGTGGAAAATAATGTGTTTTGAACCTTAAACCGCATAAACACATTTCATTACACCAAATACACAACATAATGTTCTTTTTAGCATCATCATATGACCCTTTTAAATATTGCCGGCTAAAACAGTAACTAGTAACTAGTACTCTTGAGTAGTTTTTGAAAGGTGTACTTTGTACTTTTACTTAAGTACTGTTTTGACACCAGTACTTTTACTTGTAATTGAGTATTATTTCAGCAATGTAACAGTACTTGTACTTAAGTACAAATTTTCAGTACTCTTTCCACC